TATACAAAATGAAGAAGTGGTATAGTATTGGTCTTTGTGTTATTTCTGTGGATTTGGATTCAAAATATTATATGTTTGTGGCTCACCATTGCTGTGGCCCTTCTCTTTACGTGGCTTACGCCAAATCCACAACTCTACTTTTGCTTTTGGCTACTCTTAACCTCTCTTTCTTCTCTACTTTCTACGTGGACCCTTCTAATTTACTCTTTTTATACACCTCAAAATACATATTCTTTCCAACCCGCCTACGTTACGTTCCATTTGATTCTTATGGTTTGGGTTGAGACTTGATTTGATCGACGAGTGAATTTTCTATCTCCGAGGAAAACTAGCTTGATCTGCTGTAAGAAAAAATGCTTAATTTTCCTTTTTGGGGCTTCGACTCTCACATGATTCATGAAGTTCTTGTTTCGCCAACTCGTAAGTTGGTGAATGTTTTTTATTAAATCGATAGTCAAAGTTGTTTCATTTCGAAGGCCTTTCTCGATTTAAACCATTTTATTTCTAAATTCTCGCAAAGAGTCCTCTGGAATTCCTTCTAAAGCTCGTCGAACCTTTTTAAATGGGTTTTTACTCCCTTAGAAACTCCCGCTTTGCCTAATCTTTTTTACTCCTTCCCTAAATCTTAATATATTAGTCAATTAAGAGTGTTACACATAAATGAAAACTATTAACTAAATGTCATGTATTCAAATGGGAAACTCTGTAGTGTGGATAATTTGTGAGTTTCGAACAATATCATAAGAAAACCACATTGTATTTCAACTAAAATGATCAAATTAAAACTAAATTAATCGATAATTTTAACCTACTTAATAATTTTGTCTTATATAAAAAAAAATAAAAATTTAGTGTATCGACCCCAAAAGGTTTTGAAAAATAATATATTTATTAACAAATATTTAAAAATCTATTATCTTTTATGGAATGTATTTTAAGATCCTTTAAAAAATATCCAAAGGTAATTGAAAAAAAAAAAAACTTTAAAAAATATTCACCTTTTATCAAGGCTATTAAAAAACTTTTGAAAATATCCACATTTTATAAAAGGCCGTTAAAAACTTTTGAAAACGTTCCACCTTTGTTAAAAAACCTTTGGAAAAAAAGTGTATATATATATATATATATATATATATATATTTACCTATTTATTTTTATTTATTACTTATTTTGATAAGTTTACTTATTTGTTTATATCAACTAATATTTAAAAATCTTGGGAAAATATATTATCTTTTATAGGTAATTAAAAACCTTAAAAATATATATATACCCTTACAAAAGTATGGGTTTTCTCTTTGTCCCTTATTTTCGTTCATTTTTTTCTTTTTCTTTTTGAATATATATATATTTATAATAATTATTTAATTTGAGTAAACTAGTAAATATATAATTAATTTTTACTAACAAAAATTTACTAAATGAATGCAATGACTTATTTAATGAAATTGTTAATTAATTATTTAATTAATAATATCTTAAATATATTTAATTAGTTTTTTACACAGCATTAATTTAATTAGTTAAATTATATTTAGTTTAAAAATCATTTTCAATAATTATAATTAACTAGTTATTTTTTGGATAACTTCATAAATATATGTAAATATTATTTATCTATAGTATATATAAAAGGGGTTGTGAGGAGAAACTTTTTCTCCCTATTTTACCCTTTTAATTTCAACATTCCTATAGATATTTTGAGGGTAATTTTGTCTTTTAAATATAAAATTTTCTCTCTCACTCCCCCATTTCTCTCCCTCTCACGCCACTTCCCTTCTTTTTTTCATTTCTTTTAAAATATTTAATCCCCATCGTCACAAATTTTACATTTCTCAAATTAATTTTCTCTTTCTAATAAACTCTCCCTGTTAGAATATAAATAATTAGAATAGGGAGGATTTTATCTCTTTATTTCTATGTTAAAAAGTTATAACTTATTTTGAATTATAAATAATAAAAATTTCAAAAGTTTCATAACTTTTTATTTTCTACAACTATATAAAGAATTTTTTCTTACTCTCTCTCCCAACATTTTCTTCATCAAAACTTGAGTTTCTTTTCTCTTTCGATATGTAAATTTTCTCTTTTAGTCAATGTCTTGTATTTTCTTATATTTAGTTAGATTGTTTGATTGAATATTCAACTTTTTTAGTTATTTTTTTCCAAACGACTCAATCAACTAGAAAAAGGAAAGTGAAAATGAGTGATAAGATTGAATCACCTTGGACGGATCCACTTTAGGATGACACTTGGTAACCGTGAGGACTCTCTCAATGACCTCCTCCTTGGTAAGGTGATCGTCGTGTGATGAAAATAACCGGAGCAATCCATCGGAACATGATTGCGGTTGGCATTCCCGGCGAGCTAGGGCAAGGAATTGGACCGGAACTCAAACATGGCAAAGAATGGTTGCCCTGAACGCATCTCTATCTCTCACTTTTTTTTGTTGTCATTTTATTTTTCAATGACTCAAATAAGAAATTGAAACAAAGTTGTATTTACTTTTATGTATTGGTATGTTTAGGGGAAAAAAAAGATGAAAGATCCATGAATATGTGTTTTTTTTTAGAAAAAAAATTTAAGTAATTGAAGAATAATACATTTAGTCACACTAACTACATCAGTGAGTGATGAGAATTATTGAGATGTTGTTTTATGAGATAAACATTGAAAATACGAAAGAACTTGGTGAGGTAAACATTTAGAGATAAAAAGACTAAATTATATTATAAATTTTAACTATTTAATTAAATTTTAGATTTTTAAACATTGAAATAAAAACTATGAAATTTAACGTGCACCGCACGTGTTTCTTACTAGTTCCCATAAAAGTCTGATTATGATTAAATACCATTATTTCAAATTAACATGTCACTATATCTTGTATTTATATGGTCCACTGAGAATATAAAGCTGTGTAAAAAATGATTAATTTTGTTAGTGACGACTTTATATTTGATTTATGAAATATAATATTTATTATTAATTCTTCAATTTTATTATTTTACTAATTCATTACAATTAAAATCTTATATAATTTATTCAAACAATTAAAAAAAATTTATATAATTTTATTAAATACATTTTTTTAGGATAATTAGGAGGGAACTTGCAATTCTGACAAAAAAAAATTAAAGAAAATAGCAAATTTAACATCAAGTTTTGCAAATATAGCCATTAAAAAAAAAATAGAGGCCCAAATTATAAACCGTCAAATATAGCCTGAAATTTGATATACTTTTGATATACCTGCAATATTTATGTGTTGATCTACCTTATTAATCTACCATATTGACATAACTATGATATATATGTGTTGATCTACCGTATTAATCTACCATATTGACGTAACTATGATACCTATGTGTTGATCTACCACGGATATATTATCGGTGGTGCCGAGTGAAAGGGTCGTCGTTCAACAGATAAAAGTTATTCTAGAAATAAGTTTAATCGAACTGATCTTCCCTAAGATCTCACATCAATGAAAAGATTTGACAGTAAAATGTATTAACGAATAAATTATATTTGGATTACTTAATAATAAAACTGAGAAATTTGGATAATAATTAAATTATTTTAGACCATTTTCAAGGTTTGATTCAATTATAGAAAGAATTGAATTTGAGATTTTATGTCTTTTATTATCACGTAATAATATACATTAATAAAATTGGGGTATTTAATCCAAATATATACAGAGGCTTGGTTGCCACTTGAACCTATCCTATATGTAGGAATTTACATTTTTCTTCATATTTACGAATTTATTGCAACATATGAACCGTTTCATAATTTTTATTAATTGAAACCGTTTGTTCGGTGGTTTTTTATACAAGAATCTTGAATGAAATCAAAACTTTTTTTTTTTTACATCTACCTTAATTAGGGACGTTTTCGTTCTATTTTGGTAATTTCAGTTTCTTGGCTGTTTATTTATTTTTAATACAACATGGGGTAGGAGATCGAACTCACAACTTCTTATATGCTGTTGAGCTATGCTCGCTTTGACAGTTTCTTGACTATTTATTATATATGGATACGGTAAATTGAGAACTAATATAAATAGTCTTCTTGAGGCTCTTTATGAATAGAACTTCCATTGTTAGGAGTCCTATAAGAGTAATTTATCGATTAATTTAGACATCGAGAGAATTTAGAATTATTACCAAAATTCTTAATATTGCTCTATTATTCTAATAGAATTAAAATTTTAATAAAACACGAGGTCTACCAATGCGCTATTGAATAGAAGGTAATAGCAATTCGTGAATCTTAAGGATATAAGAATATTATAGGATTATCAAAAGTTTAGGTAGGCAATTCCATATTATCTATCTATGTAATCTTGGTATAGTACTCTAACGAGATATGAAATTGGCTCTTATACCAATTTGGACGAGACCTTTGGAAGTTTT